AATAGGATTTTACTTTCATGGAAATAGAGGTATCAGAGTCCATCAAACAGTCCAAGTCATACACGGATAAGTCATCAATGTCTTTCAGTTAAAGGATAATCCAAATAACATAGTCCAGTATCATATAATCAGTTCAGTATTCAAAGTTTGCTAACAGTTGCAAAACTTACAATAGCTCACAGCACTTTCTAATAGCCAGATTCCAGATCAGCCCAGCATCTATCAAACAGAGAACTAACAGTCGTTCTGGCTCCCTCTTATGGCCGATTGCAGAAAACAGCAACCACATTTTACAGTATGATTTAAAGAAACAGGTATAACATTGCTATATGATTCATATATTACCAACCCAACCATTAGAATTATATTCCTAACAGTAGTACTATTAACAAGATATATCTAACTAATTAACTAAGGAGGTCAGAGAGGAACGGTTGTTATTTTCCAAGGGAAATAGGCAGTTAAGCAAAATATAATACAAACAAGCAAACATATTTCTTCACATTTCATCCCATGATGATGGTCACCCTACAGCTCCAGAGACCCTTAAAGGACATTGATTATCTGGACCTCATTCAATCTGCATTCAAGCTGGCTCATAATACCAACATCAATGGTTACATTTCCCAATGAAGTTTGATGGGCTTGGGTTAGGGGTGGGATTCAGCCGGTTTGGACAGGTTTGGGTGAACCGGATGCTAATTTTACATCTGGTTCACTGAAGATGCAAGGACTGGCTGGCCCTGCCCACACCGCCCCTCCCGGGAGTATCCATGCAGCCCACTTTAGATGCTAGGTAAGTGTAGGGCCCGCATGGAGGCTCTGGGAGGGCAGAGGACCCATTTCTGGCTTCTGGAGCCCAGGGGAGGGTGTTTTCGGCCTCCCAGAGGCTTGAGGAAAGCCTCCAGAGCTTGGGGAGGGTAGAAAATGGGCCTCCCAAAAGTCCGGAAATGCATCTGTTTCGGGCCTCTGGAGTCCGGGGGAGGCCATTTTCGCCCTCCTGGAGGCTCAAAAAAAGCTTCTGGAGCCTGTGCAGTAGGCTGAGTAAGCCACGCCTACCCAGCAACCAGGCAGAGAATCGGTTGCTAACATTTTTGAATCCCAGCCCTGCTTGGGAAGGGAATAGCCTATATGGCCATCCTTGAACTCTTAGCAGCTTTTGATACAATTGATCACAGTATGATGCTGGATGGCTCAGGTGGTTGGATGTGGATAATATAGTTTAGAGGTGATTCTCTTCCTTTTTCCAGTAGCCTGTGGGGGCAAGGAGATCAAGCCTGTGACTTTGCTACTTCAGAAACTGAAGTGGTTATGAAGTGAGGCAATGATATGAAGTGAGGCAATGGTTATCTCTAGAGTATGAAGTGAGGTGATTACATTCAGATGTAATGTTAAATATTCTGATCTTTTTTGTATAATGTATCTCTTGAAACTCAAAATACTATTTAAAAACTACAAAAAGTTTAATTTAAAACTCAGCATTTTATTCAATTTCTAATAGAAATACAATATAACTTTAGTTTGGAATGGTATTTGTCAGTGTTCAGCAGCTGCCAAAAAAGCCAACACAGTTCTAGGCTACATAAACAGAGGGATAGAATCAAGATCACGTGAAGTGTTAATACCACTTTATAATGCCTTGGTAAGGCCACACTTGGAATACTGCATTCAGTTTTGTTCACCACGATGTAGAAAAGATGTGGAGACTCTGGAAAGAGTGCAGAATAGAGCAACAAATATGATTAGGGGACTGGAGACTAAAACATATGAAGAACGATTGCAGGAACTGGGTATGTCTAGCTTAATAAAAAGAAGGACTAGGGGAGACATGATAGCAATGTTCCAATATCTCAGGGGTTGCCACAAAGAAGAGGAAGTCAAACTATTCTCCAAGACACTTGAGGGTAGAACAAGAAGCAATGGGTGGAAACTAATCAAGGAGAGAAGCAACTTAGAACGGAGGAGAAATTTCCTGACAGTTAGAACAATTAATCAGTGGAACAGCCTGCCTCCAGAAGTTGTGAATGCCCCAATACTGAAAGTCTTTAAGAAGATGTTGGATAACCATTTGTCTGAAACGGTATAGGGTTTCCTTGGAAGGCAGTGGGTTGGAATAGAAGACCTCCAAGGTACCTTCCAACTCTGCTATTGTATTATTGTAAAAGGCTTGTTTCATTGCAATAAACATTTTATAGTAAGGGATCCTCATGAGAATATAATACAGCTATTCATTTCAAATCAGTTTTTAAACACAGGAAGTTCCAAGAGAACCTTTGAAAAATTATATTTGACAACAATTAGTTCATCTAAAGGAATTGTTAACACCCAATCATAGCAGTCTAATTGTTAACATATTTTAGAAATACATTACTGAATTATTATAAAAATGTTAAGGTTGTCAAGCTTGTTTTCTGGTGATTAGAGAGATGTACCCATATAGGGATGTATAGAGGTGATTTATTGCTGCATTCTTTCAGGCCTCTCTCTCTCTCTGTTTACTTCTCATTTACCGTAGTATACAGTTTTTTCTAAGTATTTTCTCATCTATATACTAATCAGAGTCAACCATTCTAAGCCTCCAGGAATTACAAACAGGAATTACGTTATATTGAAATTTCGTAAGATTAACAGCTGTCCCAATTTGTTGAAACCTGAAATTCATTATCACATAAATGCAGACTGAATTCCCATGGATGTAAATGTATTTCTTTTAATTTCTGTAGAACACTGCAATTGTGGCAATTTTCCACTGTTGTTGTAATAGTTGAGGCTGAGGAAGGGTTATTTCCTAGTTGCAAGAGGTTGAACACGAGGCTCCTGACAAATTAAAAATCACAGCGGTTGCTGCTCCTGCTGCTGGCCCAGAAGATCCAACAGGATATCTCTACCACCATTACCAACATCAAATAGAACAAGTTATGGGCCACCAGCATCCCTGCATGGGAATAGTTAGAAGCTTGAGCTTGAAGATCAAGTTTGAGCTCAACCATTGCTAAGAACAGCACATTAACTGTCTTTCAACCTTGAAAATATTTAAACATGTTTAAGTATCACTTAATATCCTTTCTACTGCTAGTAACAGTAGATACTCATGTTGTCACTTAATAGTAAGTTACTATTCTTAAGCAGAACCTGAATCCAGTGTCTGAGACAACTGACAGATTGTAAGTGATGGCTTTGGATAAACACAGAGTAATCAGGTTGTTTCTGACTCATCAACTCAGCAAAAAAAAAAAAAAAAAAAGTGCCTTTCCTTTGTCACTGACACAAGGAAGATGTGTCAGGACTATTATCATCCACCTGAAAAACCCATTGCAATATTTACCATCTATCACACTTAAAACATTTTCATATGGTCATATTAATAAAATTTGAGCATGTTTTATCCATTGTGCCTGCCCAGTAGTTGATTTGACAAAATTTCTATAAAAATAAACCAAGAACTAGAATGTTACCCCTACGCCAGTCAATGAAAAATGGAGTTGAACAGAAGAATCTCAAAGAGGAATCAAAGTAGATTATATGTTGGCCTATATAATGGTACACGTTTTAAGCACTGTATGAAAAGTGCAGCTAACACAAAGCTACAATTTCCCCCATGAATCACTTAAAAGTAAAAAACAAAAACAAAAGCAAAACTACCTAAGAAGGAGCACTTGAACTTTATTATTTTTTTAAAAAAAAACACATACGTCTCATATAATCTCAGTCACCAACAGGCAGTTCCAAAAGAGGCGCATCACCTCAAAGAATCAGGCAGTACATTAGTAAACAAAAAGTAAGGTTGTTTACCATCTTGGCTTAGCTATCAGAAACCGGTCTCTTGTCTCAAAATTGCCTCTATCATTTGGAATGAAAAATACATGTCTATATTCTGTATCCTGGATCAATGCAGTTGTATTAATAAATGATACAAGTGATCTTCAGAGAAGACTCCAAGTTTAATTGCTGAGAACAGTTTGAAGAAGTGTTGACTTGGAAATGAAATCCAGGACCAGCAATAGACCAGAATACTTCCCGCTCATCTTTGATAGGGATGCATTGAAGCAGATTTGATATTGGTTTTTATGCCACTGGGCATCTTACCTGGAGAGATGAAAAAAGCTGGGTTTAATAATGTAATAAGAATCTGACCAATTTAGAGGGCAATATGCTTATTACTATCTCTAGCTCTTTCTTGTACGTATTTTTGAAGGAGATATATTTAATTACTCACTCAAACTCTAACCTTACTTTGGGCAAATTTCTCAGGCATTTTATGCACTAAAACAAGAAACCTGATGAATAAGGAAAAAGACTTAAGCTGTCCACTATCCTATTTTCCTATGGTAAATAAAGGCATTTTGAAAATACCATCCAGCTAGACATGAGAATAGCCTTCCCCTGATTTTGATTAATAGCCACTTATTCTCAGTAAAATGGACATTCCTATATTTAAAACAATCCTATCTCATCTCCAGACTCACAGACACCTAGATAATGTTAATATAAATCATATGCTGCCATATCCTTTGTCCCAAATAGTTGTCCTTTTCTAAAGCCTGTCCGTTTATACAAAATGTTTAATTTTTGTAGGGCAACACTTCCTATTGAAGTGTAGCACCACTATATATTTATCTCTGTGATTCTTTTTACCTGGTTGCCCTCCTTGTGGCATCTGCACTCCTCCAAGCATAGACTGTGGCTGATTTGGTGCGCCTGACATTTGTACTTGCTGCATGGTAGAAGCACCAGCTATGATGGCATTGGCAGCTTGCTGACTGGTTGAAACAGAACTTCCCACTCCTGGTGGACGTCTGTTGGACAATCCTTTTCCAAAGGCTACAGCTGCAACTAGGGCATTGGTATCAGCAGGGTTGAATGTTTGCTTGTTCTGGCGCAAACCTATAGAGTATAAAAGCATTCATACTGGTCTCCAAATTTTCTATAAAGGTGTAGTTTTTACTTCTTATCATATTTTAATCTCTGCTTCTGGGATTTCTGTCTCTCAATAGTGTTGTCCCCACTAAAGCTCATTTGGTCCTCCTCCTTATCTAGAACCATACCTCCACTTTCAGATTCTCGATCTTCTTTGTTGATTTTCTCTAGCAAGTTCGAACACATTTTGTTTAGGCTTTGAATCTGTTTCTGCAATCATAAAAATCATATAATGTCAGAATTCACAAGTGCTTCGGGTTGCCTGACTTCATGCAGATAAAACTCATTAAAGCCTATGTCCAGATACTCTGGAAGCTGGAGACAGTTTGAAACTCCACACTGCCTTGACAGAATCAGAGGTAGGCATCATTTTGGATCTGAGACGTCACTGGTGTCAAATTAGACCTGGGAGTGGGAAAAATTACGCCTAGAGTGTATTTGGACCTATGTAAATGAGCAATTAGCATATACAGACATATATATCCATCCATCCATCCATCCACAAAACAGAATTATTGACATACAGAGAAGTGTACTGCTTATAACAAAGACAGTGGGTTGTGATGATTTCAAGCAACCTTTGTTGCAAGGAAATGTGGTGCAGTAGGATTTGAGACCAGTGACTATCTCAGTCCATTCTACATGAAAGAGCTGTTATGGGAAAAGTGGAGGGAGTACATATATATTATCTTGAGTTCTGGAAGGCAATGTAGAATAGAGCAGCAACAACGGCACATTAAGTACATTTTGTTTAATGTGTAATAGAGCTGCAATTCATTTGCATGCTACCAAACAGCAATTCCTGAGAGGGAATTAAAATTAGTGAGGGTAGCAAAATTGTGGTGGTCCAAAACCATGCTTATCCATATACACATTTACCAAGAAAAGATTTTAGATTCTAAGCGTGTAATAATAATTTAGATTTTATCCCAAAAATGTGCTTCGAGGTGCACAGGGATAAAATAGATCTGCATCTCTTTAAAGCTGACACTTTTCCCCACCTCCTGGATCATGAGGCAACTGCAGAGGGTAACCAAACGATCCCAGAAAAAGACCCTGCTGTTTTATAGGGCTGAAGACAAGTGTTATGTTTGTGCTCCCTCAGGCTCCAAGTTTCTTTTTTTCTTCCTCATCCTGTTAATCAATCATTGTCCTACCTGTGCCACATCAGTGCCAATACGAGCTGCATCTGTGTTTAGCTGCTTCTCTTGCTCCTCTACCTCAGGATCAGGCTTAGTTCGCAGATGATCAGGTACAACTTCATGGCTGAACACTGGTACTCGTCCTTCTGTCTGCCGCTGCAATATTCAGTCTATTAGGATGCATATCTTGCAACAAAATCAGACAATACAAAGCGAAACTCATAGACCTCAGGTTATTGGAAATGTAGCTTCAGAACATCTACCTCTGCAATTTTGTGATCTTTCTCTTTTTTATTATAATAAAATGAAGCAATTAAAATAAATGTCAATGAGTTAGCGTCTTCACCATTTGCAAGTCAGCCGTTATGAAGAAACAGCTTGAAACCTGCCACATCAAACTGCCATATACATCAATGTACATTGTGATGAGTTTTGATTCACCCTGAAAATAATATTGACTATAGGGAATGAATGAGCATTCTCTGATCATCTCCATGTTCCTTTTGGAAATGTCCCTCTTTGTCGCAGCCCCTCAAATACTGTTCTGAATTAAAGCAATTACTTGAGAATATGTCTTTCCCATGACACTTTCCCCATTCACTTTTACAATTCTGTCACCTGTGCATAGCCCAAACAAAAGCAGGTACTCCATCCTTAACTTGTTTAACAAATATGGTGTCCATTGGGCTTGGCTTATTTCTTGGTTTTCCTGGTTGCAGTTTCCTGGTGGTGGGGCTTTTTTTCCTTGGCGTGGCCCTGCTGTCCACCGGGTTGCCATTATTTCAGTCTCCAGTTGCAAAGAAAAAAAAAATTCACCAAAATGCACATGCGAGGGAAGTGGCACTATAGTTATTAGATACTAAAGTGGATAATTTTTAGATACTAAGTTGATAAGTATCTAATATGTACATTTCACAATTTAAAGATTAAAAATCAATCAGAAAAGAGCTGGAAGGGACCTTGGAGGTCTTCTAGTCCAACCCCCTGCTCAAGTAGGTGACCCTATACCATTTCAGACAAGTAGCTGTCCAGTCTTTTCTTAAAAATGTCTAGCAAAGCACACCAACAACAACTTTTGAAGGCAAGCTGTTCCACTGGTTAATTGTTGTCACTCTTAGGAAATTTCTCCTTAATTCCAGGTTGTTTCTCCCTTGATTAATTTCCATCAATTGTTTCTTGTTTTGCCTTCTGGTGCTTTGGAAAATAAGTCAATTTTCTTTTCTTTGTTGCAGGCACCCTAATACTTTTCTGAATTAAAGCAATTACTTGAGACTATGTCTTTCCTATGACACTTTCCCCATTCATTTTTACAATTCTGTCACCTGTGCATAGCCCAGCTTCAAAAGCAGGTACTCCATCCTTGTTTAACAAATATGGTGTCCATTGGGCCTGGCTTATTTCTTGCTTTTCCTGGTTGCAGTTTCCAGGGACTTGGCTGGTGGGGTTTTTCCCCCTGCCCTGCTATCCAGTGGGTTGCCATTATTTCAGTCTCCAGTTGCAAAGAAATAAATTTGCCTGAGTCCACATGGAGTTGGGGGGGAGGGCGCACGGCAAAAATAGGCACCCAAGGAAGTGAGGAGGGAAATGTAATGTAATGTTATAATATAATGTAATGTAATATAATATAATATAATACAATAATAATACTATACTATACTATACTGTAATATAATATAATGAATGTGTATAATAGTACATTATAGCTTGGCCATGCTCTTGTTTACATGCAACTGCCAAATTATGATTTCAACGTAGATTTGATTTGTTTGTCATTATTTTATTCTAAAACTTTTAACCAGATACTCTTTGAGAAGTTTTAATTGTAATGGTCTTTGAGCATAATAAATATTTGATATTTAAAAGGTAAAGCAATACATTTAAAAGCAATTTGCACACACAAGAACACATTAAATTTTTTTCCTATTATATGGTTCTATATAATGACAAAATAGCTTGACTTCACCTTTAAACATATACTGGCCTGTCTTTTAAGGTAACAATTCCCTATATACAATTTTGTTGTGCAACTGAAGCTTGAGCTATATAGCATGTGATAATTGCTCCCAGTTTAAAATCCAATCCTGTAATTTTAATGCTTTCTTTTTGGCTGTAAGAGCTTATTTTTTAGCTTTGCAAAGCATTTCTTTAACTATTGTCTAAAGTCTACTATTATTATGATGTTTCTTGTCAGACAGAATTAAGTGCTATAGGCAATCTACAAGGGTGGGTTCCAAAATTTAAACTTGCATTTAGATCTGCCAACTATCTATTCAATCTGGTTTGCTCAGCATACTGCAAATCCTTCTTGTTCTATCTTTAGCAAAATTGGATGGATGGTTCATAATCCTCTTTAATGAAAGAAATTGTTCTTCTCGCCATAATGAACCTGGGACATTAATTTCTTCATTTTCCATCTATGTGCTGGCATACCCATACAACCTCCTAGTAGAAATCAAATTTTCAGGAAGGGAAAGGTGGTCAAATATCCTCTTACAGAATTGCCAAATACGTATTGGTAGCTATTGCTAAAATAAGTCTTGAGATGTCCTAATCCTGGAATGATGTTACAAAGGTCCTTTTATTCTTTTATCTAAATTTTATTGTTATTTATTCACTTTTGCTTTATTATATATTGTTGTCTTTTGCTTAATTCTTGTAAATTTTAATTGACAGTTTATATATTAATTTTATGGGATTTAAGCCTGCTTTTATGCATTGTATTTAGCTCCTTAGCTGGTTACTGATCAAAAATAAAGTTTTAATACTATTACTATTCAATAACAACATATTTATGTCTTTTTATTCTATTGTCATACAGAGGAGTATCCATAACACCTATTTCTATTAATCAAATACGTTTAGCCTGTAGAAAGAAAGGACGTTGGTCTTACCTGAACGTCTATTTTCTGAGGGGAGGAGGGAATGGTCACACGTGGGTTTTATCACAGCCTGATTGGTCCAAGACTGAGAGGAAATCTATAAATACTGGTGCCTGTCCACTGCTAACCCAGATTCTCAAACATGAACGGTACAACTGAAACGACAAAAAAAAACAACAACACAACAAACCCCGAGAATGCCCGGGCCCTCCCCTTGGCCCCAAATGACAGAACTCAGGGCGGGTCATGACCATTCCCTCCTCCCCTCAGAAAATAGACGTTCAGGTAAGACCAACGTCCTTTTTCCAGAGTGGGAGGAGGGAATGGTCATACGTGGGTTTTATCACAGCCTGATTGGTCCAAGACTGAGAGGAAATCTATAAATACTGGTGCCTGTCCACTGTTAGATTCTCGAACATGAACGGTACAAACTGAAAGACAAGAAAACAAG